ACATATATAGGACAGGAAGATGCTTTAACTATTGAAGAAGGGATAGATCGTGTACGAAGAGCTAATGAAGAGGAGAGTAGGGTGGTTGAGGTTACTGAGGAAAGACCACAAAAACGTGCTGCACGTCAGTGCAGTATATGTGGAACAGTTGGGCATACTGCCCGTACATGCTCCCAGCGTACAAGAAATAGTTCTTAATGTAATTAGATGATTTCTCTATATAGTTGTGGTGAAATTTGACTGTGAAGCTGTATGATGGTGGGGAAGTGTCCGACTAGGCCATTTGTCCGACTAGGTTATAGATCACGTTAACATCTTTAGTTATTACATAATGATTATTACATAATATAAGACATCCTCCTTCCTCTTTTGGTAACACGCGGCTGCCTGCAGCGCTGCCTGCAGACGCGTCGATAAAATATCCTCCAGGAAGCCTTTGTAACCTTCTTAACTCCTCGTTGCAGTCATCATGGGCACTCGCAACCTCATCTGCGTCTTCTACCGCGGCCGCTTCGTCATCGCCCAGTATTCCCAGTGAGACGGCTACCCCGAGGGCCCAGGGCATGATCATTCTCACCTTCCTCCTCAACGCGGCCAACATCGAGCGTCTCAAGAACGGCCTCCAGTACATCGTCACCCTCGACGAGGAGGACCTGGAGCCGTACCGTCAGCACGCCCTGTCCGCCCTTTCCGGCTCTGCTCACGCCAACTGCAAATGCGGCAAGCCTGACCACGACGCTGAGGCCTTCCCCCCGTCTCTCTCGCGTGATACGGGCGTCAATATCCTCGAGCTCGTCGCCCAGGGCCACTCCCGAGAAGCGCGTGCCCATCGTCCTGATCCTGGAGTTTGCCAACGACGGGCTGTTCTGCGAGTGGGCCTACGTCGTCGATCTCGACAAGGGCATGTTCGAGGTGTTTGTGGGCGCGGAAAAGAAGGACAAGGCTCTCAGCGACCGATTCGCCAGCGTGGGAGACGAGGACGAGACCGTCCCGGTTTTTGTCAGGAGCTTCCCTTTCACTGAGTTGCCGGCCACGCAGGACGACTTTATCCGGGCTTTGAAGGAGAGAAGTTGGTTAAGTAGGAGGAATAGACTGGCAGAGTAAGTAGATGTCGATTTGTCTCGAATATCTCCAACTGACAGTGACGAACCAGTGCACTACGTCGACACTTATCATGTGAGTTACCATCGCTGTTTGCCGTCTTAAGCGATCGAGTTAATTCAATCACAGTCAGCGGCTCTCTGATTCGTTCGAGACAATAAGCTTCGCGGTGGACCATGGGACGAATGGATATTCCCGAACGTTTAGTCACGAAGGTCATGTTCATCTGATTTTAAGCTTGAAAATGGGCTGAATTTGATCTCTTCTGTACTATGCAGTAATAAGCAGCCTACGGAAAGAAATCACGAACTAATCTGTTGGTTTACTCTAATATTCCAGGAGATTAAATATGGGACAAGAGGTTAATCGGCAATAGATTGATTAGCCAATGATATCATGTCTCCCGCTGCACGGATCGGAATCCGATACTCCGTTGGCAGGTAAGACATCTATCCAGAATTGTTACGCCGATGATATAATATGCAGGTCTATCTATCTACTCTGCAGTACTCCGCATCTGTATCCCCTCCAGCCATACACCTCCTAGTCTATTCTTAACTCCCCACGCACCAAGCACAGAATCCTTCTTCTCTTAGTTTCCTGGCGTATCTATATATCTAAAATGACCCTCCCAACGACCTTCAAGCAGGCCGTCTTCAAAGCTGTCGGCGCTCCCCTGACGATTGAAGAAGTCCCCTTGACCCCGCCCGCCAAGGGCGAGCTCCTGGTCAAGGTCGAGGCGTGTGGTATCTGCTATTCGGACACGGTTGCGAAGTATGGGAGTATGGGGGGTGGATTGTAGGTAACCCTAATTCTTGACAAGTATATATTATTGCATGCATGGGATAAAAGGGTTTATTCGCTAATGCTGATTCAGCCCCATCGTCCCCGGCCATGAGATCATCGGCCGTGTCGCTGCGGTCGGTGACGGCGTGTCAGAGTGGAAGATCGGTGATCGAGTCGGTGGAGGCTGGCATGGCGGTCACGACGGTGAGCAGCAGAAACTGCGCCTGTGCATATCTAGGAAAAGTTGCTGACTGACTGACTGTATGCAGGCACCTGCAAGGCCTGCAAGAACGGCCTGTTCCAGATGTGTGACAATGCTGTGGTTAATGGGGTTACGAAGGGTGGGGGGTGTATGTATATCCACCACTCCTAGATTTATTTTCCTAGCTAAGATGATACTGCAGACGCAGAATACTGCAAGCTCCGCGCCGAAGCCGCCGTCCGGGTCCCCGCGCACGTCGACGCCGCTACCTACGCGCCCATGCTCTGCGCCGGTGTGACGGTCTTCAACTCCATGCGCAAGATGAACATCCCGCCCGGCGCGACGGTCGGCATCCAGGGACTCGGCGGCCTTGGCCACCTGGCCATCCAGTACGCGAACCGCTTCGGCTACCGCGTCGTGGCCATCTCGCGGGACGGGCAGAAGGAGCAGTTTGCGCGACAGCTCGGCGCGCACGAGTATATTGATGCCAGCAAGGGCGATCCCGGCGAGGCGCTGCAGCGGCTCGGAGGCGCGTCTATGATTGTGGCCACGGCGCCGGATGCGCAGGTTATGAACCCGCTGCTGAAGGGGTTGGGGATGCTGGGGAAACTGCTCATCTTGTCGGGTAAGTCATCTAGGACTCCTAGGTACTTGGTCGCTGCAGCGGTTGGGTTCTGATATGTTGTAATACAGTCCCTGGCGACGTACCAGTCAACACCAATATCATGGTAAGACAGACATCACATCACATTACATTACATATTAGAGTACAAATCACATCCAACTAACTGTCTGCACAGATCCGCTACGGCCTCTCAGTCCACTGCTGGCCCGGCGGCCATGCCACCGACGCAGAAGAAGCAATCGAATTCACCGAGCGCACCAACATCAACTGCATGGTCGAGAAGTTTCCGCTGGAAAGGGCCAATGATGCGTTTGGTATGTACACACATACAGTATAGTATAACTAGATCTGCCTTGATAATACTAACTGCCTGTCTGTCTTTCTGCAGAGGCCATGGCCAACGGGACGGTGCGGTTTAGGGCGGTGATTACGATGGAGTAGACAGTGCCTTTTCTGGTGGTTGACTGAGTGATATCTACTATGAGATGAGGGCTGTATAGTTGACAGGATTCAGCGAAAGTAATCCAAAAGGAGGCTTGAGTAAATGGAAATGTGCTAAAAATGAATCGAAGTATAGGACGCTGTTTTTGGTTAATTACCTTTTTCCCTTCTTAGAGTAGCAGAATATAGCTCTTACCCTTTCTCTTCCCTTCACCATATTATTTCATTCACCTAGCGGAATACCATGATCGAAATAGCCAGCATAAGCAAGCCTCATCACAAAATGACTGAGGTGAGATACGCGAGGATAGAGTCGAGTAAGTATAATTAATTAATTAATTGCCTGCCTTCCTTTTTTTAATCATTGCATAATGACATCGTCAGAAGAAAAACAAATTATTTATTCATTTACTAACTGATAACAAATAGTCGACTGTTGTTGCCTTTTGGGCAATTACTGACAAACCTTCTCCTTCTTCTTCCAAGAATTTATTTTATTTATGCAAAAAGCTAAATAAAAGGTTGCGTTGGTTGGTTATTAGTCTAGAAGTAGAAAGAAATTTATTTGCTTTGACTCGAACATTCCTAATAATTGTCAATTTAAACTAACTATGTATGTATATACATACATGATTCTCCTGCTCTGTTGGTGGGTATCTGGGGCTGCCTTTATTAAAGCAACGCGATAGAATCTTCTAATGAGGAGAGTACGAAAATAGGAAGAGAAAGAGAGAGATAGAGAGAGAGAAATGAGAAATAGGATGATATGCTTTTCAATATGTCGTATATGCGCGGGCATTGGGATGATTGTAGGCTAAATATAATTGTCTGGGACTCCCGGGCAGTTCTTTTTTTTTTTTAACTGAGCGGCGACATCGCTTGATATGTTTTTCAAAATAGAAGAAATATTCATTCCGACCTCAGATGGATGAATCAGGTGAGAAACCCATCAAATCCAGAGATCGATCATCTAACAGTGATCCAGTCTGATAGATATCCTTTGTATTCAAGCCCATCTGCGCAATTTTCAACTTTCGATCCTGTTGCGATTTCATTTCCTAGATTCCGGCGTGAGCATTGGACGTGAAGATTGATAAGGCTACCTACCTCTTCCACTGTGTGAGCGATGATATATCGAGTTACAAGGACGGAACTCCGTTGCCCTAAGCGCAGCGCGCGGGCAATCGCTTGGTTTTCAACGCTGGGATTCCACTGTGGTTCGACAATGAAGATTCGATTTGCACATGTGAGATTCAACCTGCGGACGTTAAAGGATCAACGCTGCCGTGAAAATGAAGAAGTAGAGAATAAAGTGTACGCACCCGTATGCGCCCGTTCCGGTTGTCATGATCAGAACATGTAGGTCGGTCGATTTGGCAAAATCATCGAGAATCTGCTGCCGGCGCGAGAGGGGACAGGCGCCGTCGATTCGGCAATTAGATATGGATTTGTCATTTAGACACCTTTCAATCAGGTCCAAAGTCCTAGTCCAGCAGGAAAATATTATGTTGTAATAGAGTCAGTTTGCAGCGGAGTCACTGAAACTTCAGCTGGTGCTTGCCTCTTTGTTGTCAACAAATCTTTTTGGACGTCTGAAACAAGGTTTGCCATCTTTGTAGAAAATCCTTGAGCGTTAAAGTCGTCGTATTGCCGTCTCGTCGCCGCAACTTTCACTCGGTTCTCATGCGACCGTTCGCCTTGTTCATTCTCTTCCAAACAAGCAGAGCAAAGAGCAAATATATTACCGCCGATGACGCTTTCTTCTGAAATTCCCTGGTCCTGGCTCATTGTTCTACCACATAAGGAGCATTCAATCTTGTTAGATCCCTTGAATGGATCGCTTGCATATTCGTCAAGCGCCCTCCTGGTGAGCCATGGATTACGCTTCTGAAATGTGCCGTGGTTGCAAAATATTCTCAGTTGGAGTAGTGCCTGGAATATCCCAAACTTGCTCTGTCCGCGCCCTTTCTCTCTGTCTTCGCGGATAGTCCTGTTCATGACCTTTCTCATCTCATTGTATTGGCGTCTTTCCTCCTCTGAGAAATCTAATTCCCGCGTTATATCCCGTCGCCTAGGAAGGTGCAACAAGTCCTTCGTCCGACGGAGGCACGTCAAATCAAGAAGCAACCTGAGACAATGCGAAGCACGTTGTCTGTCACCCTCGTCAAAAGGACTTGTGATGTATCTTCGAAATGTAGCCATGCTGTCAAATGGAGGTATCTTAAGAAAGGTAAATAGAGCCCCAATATCGTTAATTCTGTTTTGAATGGGGGTACCGCTCAGACACCAACGGGAATTGGCGCTCAACTGAGAGACTGCGCGCCAGAAGATAGAGCTTTGTCTTCTCACAATGTGGGCTGCGTATTTCAGCTACAATGTGCTCCACTGGAAAACCAGAAGGCCGACTCTTACCCTCATAGAGTACTACCCGGAACCACGCAATTTGGTGAAGTAAGCTGGAGCTCGCTTCAAATTCCGTCGCCAAGGTATGGTAAGTAGTAATAACTACGTCTGAATTTCGGATGATAACCTTCTCCCTCTTGCGATTCTTTCCATGATACTTTAGCGTAGTCAATGACCCATCGAGATGTCTGCGAGTAAGTTAGCATCCTCCGATCGTTTCAGGAAGAATGATTTTACCTATCAATCTCTTTGCACCAGTGGTTGATTAATACTGTTCTCCAAGTCAGCTAACTTCCTCTATAAAACGCCATTTCCTTGGGATACTTGGGAGCTGAGGATACTACAACCAAAGTTGCACGAGAAGGCTGTTTCTCTTCGTCGATCATGGTCAATGGAAAGGACGCGGGGTCAGCGACCCATTTGTGAGCATCTTCGATGGTCTTTGTGATCAGCGCCAGAATCGATAACGATTTGCCCATTCCCATCTCATCCGCAAGTATACCTCCCCCGGTCTCTGGTGGGCGATGTGCTGTTTTTCTCTCCGTGATTGCATGGCAATACCTGCGTTGATGAGTATGATTTCAGGTTCAGATCAAGATGAGCCGGGTGTCTCACCAGGTTTGACCATCAGACTCGCCAGGACGCCAGAGAGAGAATTCAAATGGCACTGGACCAACTTCCCTTTGAATCATAAAGTCCAATGCTTCTTGTTGGTGCCTTTTATTGCATGGATAGTCATATCAAGAATTATTAGTAAGAATCCCTAGCCGGAATGCATGACTCCAATGACAGCGCAAAAATTAAGAGACATCGTGCAGAGATGGCAGACTTACGGTAATAGCGATTCGGAGTCTGCCATCACCCTGAATACATTTCAAATGCGAGCCCCTTGTCAAGGAAGAAAAAACATCGGAAATGACTTGATCAAAGCTCTTGGAGTTTCCAAGGTCTTGGTTGCTGCCAGTCTGCTGCCGATCATGAAACGTACTTTGGTCCTCTACTTCGGGGAAACTAACAACGTGGGGATTTTCACGATGATCATATACGGGGTCAGGACGGAGCTGATCAGGGCGTTGCAACCAGATCTTTTTCGTAGAGAGAAGATTCCCCACGTGCTCACCAGCTTCCCGTGTTCCATAGACATTAATATGTGCATGTGCCTTCGCTTCAGTCCCTTTCGTTGCTCTTGAAATTGTTTCGCGCAGCGAGGAGAGATGTGCCAGTGCGTCAAGTTCAACCCGCCATTCGTCAAGGACTGAGGCCAATACGGTAGATAGGTTGGAGGCGGACCGAGAACAACGCAACTTGGCTACTGTCAAGGAATGGATATCTGGTATTTCTACCGAACAAGACCACGAATCGTTCTGCAGGACAAGACTCGAGTACCCAGGCACCGGAGAATGGATACTAAAGGAACCAAAGGTCCAACAATGGAGACAAGCGAGCACATTGTCATCATCAATTCTATGGATTAGAGGTATTATGGGCGCCGGTGGCTCGCGTTTTTTCAAAGAATCGTCAACAACTCGGATTTTCAAAGATCCTGATACTTCCTGGGAATAGGAAAAACAATCCTGGCATCTCGCATAGTAGATGACTGTTTACGTGACGCGAGCTCAACAACCACGTACTTCTACTGTAATAGTGATTGTAAGTTTAAGTGGGGGGGGGGGGGGGGGGGGAAAGTCGTTGAATGGCATTAAATACTCACGACGTTCTATTTTAGGCACATCTTGAACAGCGGATACGTACATGAATCCATCGCCCAGAGCAAGTTAACGTCTCTTTGCCTTGAGTATCTCTCGCTTCGATGCTTTACAGATGTCGATGAAGTGGAACTAGAAGGTTTTGCTCTCAGTGGTCACTTTGCCTTTCAGGATTATGCAATTGCGGAATGGTCTCATCACTTCTTAAACGTGATTGAGTTCGGAAACAGCTTCAATTCGTCAGAACCAGAGATTCGACCGCCACTGAAGGAGCTCGAAATTGCGCTCGAAGTTTTCAGTAAAGTTTATCAAAGTGATATTTTGAGTCATCAGGCCAGCGGTCTATCAGAAGAAAAGTGCCAGGAATTTCGTTGTTATCCCTTTTACGAGAGTCTCCTTGATCTGTGGAGACATATCAACCACCATCGTATGAAAGGACCAGAGTCAAGGAATACCATTAGTCGCACAACGCTCAGCAACTCTTTTTTCCGAACTCGACAAATGATAGAACGATTGAGCTCTGGCACATTGTTGACCCCGGAGAGGGAAGAGCGTTTGACTGAGTTTTACGGGTCCAAGAGGTTCAAATGTCACAAGCTTCAATGTCCTTTTTTTCATGAGGGATTCTCAGACGCAAAAGGACGTGATGAACACATTGCCCGCCATGAAAGGCCTTATAACTGCACAGTTACGGGTTGCTCCTTTGCTGAGTTTGGCTTTATTCTCGCGAAAGATCTCGAGAAGCATAAGAAAAAGTACCACCCCGAACTCTTCACCGACTACGAGGTTACGTTTGCCAAAGAAAACACAGGATTGAAATCGAAGGCAAAGTGGCAATGTATGCTGTGTGACAAGTCTTTTGTTCGTGGGGGCATACTACGTGATCATATGCGGGCCCATAACGGGGAACGACCACATTGTTGTCCACACTGCGGAAAGACGTTTACTCGGAGTTATGACTGCACGCGGCATGTGAGACTGCATTATAGGAATGAGATTAATGTGGCCTTGTCAATCATGTCTGAAGAACCTTCCTTTGTAGCCCTAAGCTATTCACGCAATGTCCATCAATGCTATCGTACCGTACACTAGTTCAATTCCCTCGAATAAATACAGTCCTCAAAATCTATATCGAAGAGTAGCATCTGATTGGGAAAGTCTGATGAATAGTCAGCAGATTTCAGAGGCCAAAACGCACATGGGGCAATCCAACCCAATTGTAGAACACAACTTGCACAGTGATATGCACAGGATGGCAAATTACATGCATGTGAGACTTGTCAGAATGGGCAGCCATACTTCAAACACCTTCTTCTAGACTAAATTTGCAGTGCATGTTTGAACAGGGATAGTGAAGCCCATCACCAGGGCTAGCCACGTGGCATCATCCTTGCTCGAGTTGGTCCCTCGTCCTACACTACAAGGCAGATTTGGGACAAGCTGACGTGGCTCGAACAAGTACTGGAAAATTTTAATTCGACAGCTATTCAATGTCAGCCTTGCATATTCAAGAGTTAGTCCCTCATTGGACACTAATGGCAGTGAAGTGCGCACAGCCCCGGGGAACCCTTGAGCCGCCCCGTATTTTCGATCCTTGTTGTTGTCTAATGGGGAACACTACATGTCTTGTGTAGAGAGTCAAATATGAGTCCGCTAGAAATCTTCATCTAGAGATTATTTTCCTCATCTTGTAATGTGCATCCCTTATATATTATCAGAGGCTAGTAACTATATATCTATATTATTAAAGTTTTCTTTGACAAGAAGAGGCAATCTCTGCCATTACCGCTACTTGTATCTGTTTCTTCCTCTTTCTCCTCTCCTTCTACACTAAAATTGCAGTGCAGGGGGAGTGAGGCTCTTTACTTAGATCTATTGGCTGCTGCATTCTCAGCTGAGTCTCTAGCATGGGACTTCTCCTGGTCCAAACTAAAATTGCGGCGCGGTTCAATGCTTTCTGATTTAGAGGAGTTTTTTCTAACATCTTAAGCCTCGTCGTTACTAATCTTCCAATAAGCCTCCGGCCTTCTATATAACACAACTATGTACAGTACATATAGTATTGAGTAGGTGCCGCATAAATAGTAAAGCAGGAGCACTCTGCTTAGATGGTGTATTATCAGATTTCTCTGAGTACAGTACGGCCATTTGCTACCTATCCCAGGAATCCTGCTATGTTCTTGTCATCAGCAGGACAGCAAAAAATCCACCTTGCTATTCACTAGCCTCCCAATTTGCACTAAAATTGCAGTGTACGATAGCGTACCGATGCACGGGGACCTTACAAGTTATATACAACAGTTTTGCTGTTGCTTCTACTTTGGAGCTTAACCCAGATAAGCTATCACGCTAAGGATCGAGAAACCATTGGAACCCTACTATAAAAAAGCGGTACCCAATAGCTGCCTAACCATGGCGTCCTGCATATTGCTTATAGGTACTTCCCCCCTCATTCCTTGGCAAGCTTGTAGCCTGGACCTGATGCTTTCTTTGTATGCATATACTACGTGCATATACGGAGTACTACATAAATATAGCTTATCTGCATCTTAGCAAATTATGTCATGTGGATGGATAAGTAAATTATTACTTCCTTTTCATGATGATGATTCAGCTTGTTTTGTATGCTGATTGAGAATCAGAGGACTAGTTTCTTTCTTTTTATTTTCTTTTTATTTTCTTTTTCTTCCTCTCTTATCTCTGTCTTCTTTCACATGCTGACCTTTAACCCGAACTGCTTTCAATACGCGAAATCGCACACAGGTCAAGGATTCTATCTCTATCTCAATTAGCTATCATCGCAAATAATATATATGTCCACAATGTATATATGCAAAATGAAATTTTCCCATTGATCATCAGACCGATCACACTCTCTTCGCCTTCTGTCTTTCCGATCATCATCAGCTGGACCCGAGGAAAAATCAGAGTGAACCGCTCAATAATAATCCCTTGGACAGTACATACATACAGTACATACACATTCTCTGGTCTCCTCGTCTCTCCTCCTGTCGGCCAGCTAGCTTCATTTTATCGTTCGACAGCAACAAATGGCCCGGGAGAAATTTACATCTTGTCGTTCATGAAGAACTGCACTGGATAGACAGACACGGTGGAATTAATTCCTGGTGGGTGGGATTGGATCTAAACTGAGTGCAATCTGCATGAAGCATGCAATGGGAGTGGTAATTATTTGATTAGGGGAGAGGTGAAGAGTTTAGGGCTAATAGTTATGTGGAAAAAAAATAAAGAAAGGAAAGGAGGAGGTAAGGTAAGGTTCTTTGACTTTTGTTCCTTAGAGAGAGTTGTCTTGTATGATTCAAGGTGTGGAAAACTTCCCGAGTAGACAAATATATAAATGTCGTGCTGATCTTTCTATTTACATACCCTCGTCTGTTTCAGGACTTTCTAACCCCCGTTTTTTTGCTTGCGATGTCCAAGAATTTTTAACCGATGTATAACTTTTTGTCAACTGGTACGGCACTAAACCAAATCAGGAAATCAAAGGAGCAAATAATTCTGATTCTCTAATTAAATATAGGGTGCAAAAAGCAACTATATATTGGCTGATAGAAAGTCAGATTCAGGGGTAAAATAGGGGGTAGTTCTAGGAACAAATCCTTGCACAGAACCTGATGTCGGCAGCAGATAGGCTTTGTGATCAATCCGCCATGGGTCGACCCTTTTCTTTTCCTTTGTCTTCTGTGCTGATATTATTCCCGACATTATCATCTTGTCCTTTATGGCCAAAGTCCTTTTATTGTCTATTTGTCGAGGCAAACCAAGCTTCTCGGTGGCGGCAGTCCACGTTTCCTGCAGTTTCGTCTGCAGCAGCTTCGCCGTCTCTAACGTAGGCCCGGGCGGCACTGTATCGGGCACCCGGGGTCGCTCTTTCATCTTGCCCAAGGCTGGCACGAAGAGAAAGGCATTCTCCTCGTCATGGACCCATGATTGGAGGCGCCATGTTAATTTGTGCAGGTATTCCATGAGAATCATTATGCCATGTTCCAACAATCTTCCGCTGAGAAACTTCCTTTCGCTGGCCAACAATCCCTCAGTGGGTGATAATCGGACGGATCGCATACACATTGCAATCACCACGATTTCGTCATCGCGATGCTCTGTTGACAGGAGAAACTTCTCCAAAAATCCCTCGGGCAATTTGGGATGAGCAAGCTGCTTACTCACCTGCTCGGCCAGGTCCCACTCGCGAGTGATCAGCTCCCACTGTCGGGCCATCGTCATTTCCCATGTATGTATCAACACGACTGCACGGAGCATAGCACCCTTGGCTCGCTGCTCCCTGCCCGGCTTGGCAGGCAGGATCCGAGTTCGGATGAATTGAACCAGCTTGATCCCCGCGACATACTGCCGGAGACGTCTCCGTGCCAAAGTCGCGATATAGAACTTCATCTGCGAAAGTCTGAAAGCGTTTAACTCCTGGTGTGATGGCTAGTGCATCCGTCAGTTGGTTCTCTATAAGCTTGCTTCCACACAGGCAGAGTGAGGAGACCGCTTACCTTAATCGAGTGCTGAAACACTTGACACCATAGGTCCCAAACGTTCCGTGACTCCTCCGCGACGTAAGCGGTATGATGCAAAAAAAAGTTCCCGAGCGTAAGTATGAAAGTGAAAGTCCTCCCGTGATTTCTGCCACAATCGCTCCGCGGCTCTGTTCAGCGTACTGTAGATATCATGGTCGAATGGTTTCTGGGAGCGTAGCCATCCCAAAGCCAGCTGCTTGACAGTACTAGAGTCCAGGATCTTGGATGGTACTTCCTGTGCTGTTACTTTTGGGACCGCACGAAATATTTGTGTGTTGGATACGCCATAGTTCAGATATGTCACGATGATTCGGCCCATCTGGCGGTCTGCTTGTTCGACAGTGAACTGATACTCAGGCACTTTTCCTCCAATATGACCAACCAAAAATTGCCGGATGCTGTGATGTGCAAAACGGACCGTGAGTTCTTCCTCATCGACTACAATCAAGCTGCCACAGCAGGCCAGGGTCGCGTATACATTGTTGATGAGTCGGGCCGGGTTCCAAACCGCGTCGCCCGGCACGACGCTCAATGCTTCCCGAAGCTGCTCGACCGTCAATGGACGAAAGGCTGCCACCAGTAGCTCCAGGATCCGTCGCTGGTAGCGGGAATCCGGACCACCTGCTTTTTGCAGAATACGCCGGAAAGTTTCAGACAAGTCCAAGGGGAGATCATTTAAGGCGTCACGGATAGCCTCGTCTGTTCTCTCTGCGCAAATGCTGTCTATCTGAAGGACAACCCAGAGAAACCTAAACGTATTAGACAATATTGGGTTAACAAGTGGGAGTAGTCAGGTCACTCACATGCCTTGGGCGCCGGCAAGAAGAGCGTCACGGATCTCGAGGATGATGGCCGGATTTCCAATGGACAGCTTTCCCGATTCAATGCGAGCCTCCAGTTCCGTATTGATGAACCGTTCAATATCAGGATTACTCTCCGGCATTGACAGGATCCATCTCGCCTTAAGATCATCTGGATTGATCTGAGATGCTTGGTCAATTTCCGGTCGGAATGAGAGGCAGATGCGCAGGAGGAATTTGCTTTGTAGTCGTTGCAGTTGGTGGACCACGTTGTGTCGTTCATGACTCTCACATCCATCTAGACCGTCAACAATCAAATAATACGCTTTGTCCGTAGGGAGGACAGTTTCCAGCAACTCCAAGTATTGATTCGGATCCGCGACGGAGAAACGCCCATGCACAACGGCCTCCAGCTCATCGAGGTTGGTTGACTGACGGAGAAGCTGTCGCGCCAAACAGCCCAGGATAGTCCTGGCCTTTAAGGACTCGGTGATGTCGGGACGACAGAAGAAATAGGCCACCACACCCGTGGAAACAGACAAGTTCAGATCGTCGACCATGTTGGCAAGAAGCGTGGTCTTTCCCGAACCCAGTTTCCCCGAACAGGAACAACGAACAAGACGACGCGTGTGCCTTCCATTCCTGATACTCAGCACGCTCCGAAAACCAGGTTGCCGTCCCGGCCTTGCGGGCCTGTTTCCAGGGAGTCTCGTAGTCGTAGGTCGAGCACGCATCCAGCCAGCGGAGTAGGGCTTCCAGCTTCTGGCGATAGGTCGTCGAAGCTGCATTTCTGGTCATGAGAGCTCGGAAAGAGGAGCTTCTTTTGGCCTCCTCTTCGATCTTCTGGCTGGTTAACAGACTGACCTGCTCCTTGATCGAACTTGCCCACCTCTCGAGCTGAGACTGGAACGAAGCCAGGTCTGAATCACTGAGCGTGGAGGAGGTAATCTGTGCCAGGATGGACTTGCGGGTAAAGCCCACCATCCGATGGCACAGACGGACGACAACGATGAAGTATTCGCACAGATCTGCCTGCAACTGCTTGGAGCGGGCATACAGCAGCGCCATGGCCTGATAGCGTGGAGCAGACCGTCCGACAGCCATGAACAGCTGCGACAACCTTTCCAGAACGGACACCGACTGAGAAACTGCCTGTGGAGATGAAATCAGCCACGAGATATGATCGCAAAGCGGACTGACCTACCAGCAACGTCATCCGCACCAAGGACCAGACGCCGCACGCGATCAAGTTCTGGGAGCCTCCGACGACGATGTCGCCCAGAGCAGCAAACTGCTGGACGGCCTGCAGCAAGTTGGTCAGCCGGGGGCCAAAGCAGCGGCTGGTCTTGCGACTCGCACGGCGGTCGACCTCTGCAGTCAGTCGCATGACATCGTTAACGTTTGGGGGCGAATCTCGCGTTTGAGATCGATACGTCCGGAAGGCTGCTTTCTCCTCGTCGGTCAGGCTGGCTTCAAATTCGGAGACGGCTTGGGCCAGACGGATTTCGGGCTTCAGTCTCGAGGCCCTCGCCAAAGCCAACGCCATTGCTGTTGAAACTGCATTACGGCGTTGCAATGCCCCGTAAAGAGTGTGATGGATTTCCTGGCGGAGGTCGCCATGGGGGACAGCGAGTATTTGAGAAGCGGTCGAACGAGGCTGAGCAGCGAGTGACACGGTGCATCCGCCAATAGCAGAGGACCAGCAAATCAACTACCATCCAGGCTTATTACAAGGCTCGATAGGAGCCAACTTACTTGTCCTTCAACAGAAAGACCTGCAAGAAGGGCATAAATGCAAGACCAGATACTACATCTGGATTTGTTAATCAGATACGGATGGACCAACTTCCCGCATGCTCTGAAGAGAAATCCATTCATTCGTCTGATGTCATAAGCTGCGTCTCTCACTTCATAACTACATAAAACTCGATTTTGATTACAGCATATATCGGAAGCCCTTCTGCAGCCGCCGTGCTGCTGCAATGTCGATTCCCTCCACCTCCGCCGTCTGCCGCAGACGCCGCATCTCCTTCTCTGTCAGGGTGATGTCCTCGTTCTCGAGCCGGGCCAGGCGCTTGTTGGCGAGACTCAGATCGACGTACATGATCAGGCCCGTGATCAGGGCGATGATCTGCAGCGCCGTGCACACGCCCAGGGCCGGCCGGTAGTAGGGCTGGTCCTGGGAGCGGTAGGTGTAGGGCGTCCAGATACTGGCCGAGTTGCCCACCGAATTGATGAAGGCATAGGCCGCCGCCCGCTTTGCCGGGGGCCGTGGAATCGACGAGGCGATCCAGCCGTACAGGGTGCCGTTCATGGCGAAGACAAAGTTCATGAGGAAGAGCGAGAAGTACCGCGGACCGAAGGTCGAGGTGGTCATGAAGACGATGAAGCCAATGATGGTGATGGGAATCGGGTACATCCAGAACCAGAACCGGTTCTGGAAGTGGTCCGAGAGATAGTTATGGGCCATGCTGTAGAACACCATGAAGACGTACGGCGGGGCCACCAGCAGCAGCGAGATGACGTGGTTGTAGCCCAGCGTCGCGGTCAGCGTCGGGAAGAAGTTCTGGAAACCGGCGGCTCCGGTGATGGCCATGTAGGCGATGGCCAGCACGTACGTGCGCTTGTCGGAGAAGGCCAGCTTCATGCCCCGCAGCTGGCTCATCCCTCCCGCTTCGTCAATGTCGGCTTCGGCCGCCTCGATGGCCAGGCGGCGCTTGGCGACGGCCCTCATCTCGGGCGACAGCAAGCGCCAGGTTTCCGGGAAGTCGGGAAGGATCACCATGATGACGAGGCCAACGAAGCAGGTGATGGTGCCCTCGATGATATACAACCACTGCCAGGCAGCGATTCCCCTTTTGCCGGAAAGGCCGGAAAGGATACCAGCGGCGATGAGGTTGCCAAAGGCTCCGCTGAGCAGGGAGCCGGCGTAGAAGATACTCATGCGGAGAGCCAGCTCCTTCTTAGTGTACCACTTGGAGAGGTAGAAGAGCACCCCGGCGAAGAAGGGGGCTTCGACGAGACCCAGGATAAAACGGCAGGCGACAATTCCGCCGTAGCCCTTGACCTGGCTGGTCAGCGCGGAGACCAGACCCCAGGCGGTCACGAAGAAGCCCAGATACAGAGACGGCTTGCCCATGTAGTTGAGCAGCAGGTTGGACGGAACCTGCATGAGGATGTAGGCGACGAAGAGGACCGACAGGCCGGTCTGGTACTCGGTATCGTTCAGGTGCAGATCCTTCGTGAGACCCTGCAGTTTGGCGGCGGCGTAGTTGTTCCTGAGAAATGCATTAGTCTGGCTGCTGCTGCTGCCACCTGTGCGTCAGTGATACCCACCGGTCGATGTAGTTCATCAGGTAGACCAGGATGACCAGCGGCATGATCAGGAAGTCGATGCGACGACGCAGCTTGCGCTCGACGGCTTTCTCTTCGTCGGTCAGCTGGGCCAGATGCTGCACCACTTCCTCGTGGCTCATCTCCGCCTTCTCCCCCATCGCTTCGCGGTCGTTGATGACCGCCTCCTTGTCGCCAGCCATGCCGGATCCCCGATAGAAGAGCTTCGAAAAGACAACTAGGACGGAAAAGGAGAGGAATCGAGAAGACGAACGGCGCGACCCTGGCAGTGACAGGTCTAGCAGAAGCAGAACAGGACTGGAAGGGCTCGCGCGGATTTATAGAGCTAGGACAGCCAGCTCTGGGGGATCGACTGGGGGATTGCGGGGGTCATAATACGATGTGGAGAATGCCGACACGCGCCCAGCATGGGCAAAACGTTCAGGCTGAATACATCAGAGCAGTGCACAGACATGCCAACCAGCCACACGAGCCCAACGAGAGACGCTCAGTCGCGCTGCAGGGACCATGACTCGGAGAATCGCCGTGCTGCAGCTGTCAGTGCTCCAAGCTCGATGCATCATGCAGCGTGTGCCCACGCGTCGTCACCTCGTCTGCATTCCCACCCTGCGCAGTCCGTATGAGCCGGATCAAAAGCACTCTCCCTGCAGGACATGTACTCACCTCGAACCGTGGATGCCAAAACAATATTGCCCTGCTGGTAGTTCTGATTGCAGCGGAACAACGGACCGCCAGGCCGCTGCGTGCAGAAGAGCAGCTGTGTTCCACGGGCCACGGCAGCGCGCAGAGGGGCATCGCAGCAAGTCCGGGGAACCCCCATGGGCGATCCCCCGTGGGATCAGGCGACTGACGCAGCTAAAATCCGGGGTTATCCTTGGTTCATTGACACTCCACCGCCAAGACGGCAGCTGTAGCTTTGGCCGGTCGGCGTTTCGACGGCGATGGAATCATCGCCCCGAACGGCCGTGGGATCGCCTGGCAGCTGCCTGGATTTGGCAGGAAAGGCCGATGCACGTGCGGAGAACACCGGGATCCCGTGACTCGGCAGTCGCAGACTGGTCAATGCCGAGGCTCCTGTCCGCCAATCATGGGGAAGGAACGACCGCCGAGCAACGGCAGCTGCGAGTGGCTGTCCGTGCCATGCACGTGACACCAATCGGAGAGTGCCTGGCTGACTAAGCGCAGATCCGGTGCATACCAAATACGGCAGGTCCTAACAGCTGGTGGCGCACGTGCCTGGCTCGGAGCAGCTGCGAGATGGCCAGTGCTCCTTCGAAGGTTCCAAGCTTCGATGCTATGAAACAGCCTCCTTTCGACGCCGTTCTGCTGGAATTCGGTGATCCAGAGCCAAGAGCCAGCGACAACCGTCAATGACATCACGCGGATCTAAGACTGTCATTAGATAGACTGTTCAACCCCGCAGGTTAAAGAAACAAGCAAGAAAAGAGGATTTGACATGGCCACCGATCTATTATAGCATGACAATGCAACGAACATCCCAGAGCGGACAGATCAATCGATTCGTAATTAAAATTAATCAAACCTCCAGACGCCAGCCCTCTACCGTAATGCCTCCTGTTTTGTGACGAAACCGAAAGAAAGACCCTGAATGGTATATCCACACGCACAGTTGAGTCCACTCAGCCCTAATCCCAGCTATACCCTGCTGTTCAGTCACTGACTGGTTGCCGGAGCACAGCGAAATAGAGATGACTATGCCCGGAATCTAAACGCCCCCCATCACCCGATATTACTCTGGTCAATCCCTCGCACAATCCCATAACTCGCCCCCGCCGCCAGAGCACCAATGAACAACGTCTGCAGAGCGCCATACACCCCTGCGCGCTTCGTCTTGATGGTGACATAGTTCTTGATGTAGCCAAAGACGAGCAGGACCACAAACGTGATGCCGATAGAGACGAACAGGGCGATGTTGACCCGCGTGATGATGAAATAAGGGATCATAGGAAGGAGGCCCCCTGTAGCAGACTGTCAGTACGGCCAAGCGGGCTTTCAATGGCATACGAATTTCTTTCGTCAAGAGATACTCACCGATAAAATATGCCACGCCCATGGTGATCCCCGAAATCCACGCCCGAGACACGTTGGGCTTTTCGAGTCGGAGTTCAAAGTCCATCATGAACTAGACGCATGTCGTCAGATTCAATATCAAGGAACAAACGATAACACTCGAAGTTCATACCCTAACCCAACTCTCCTCATCCTGGACCAGACTCTCCACGACGCCTCGACTGGCCTCTCTCCCGATGCCATATTGGTCAAACACCTCGTAGATCTCTTCCTTCTCGGCCTCCGGCTTGGTGGCCACCTCGTCCCTCTCGCGCTTCTCCTCGCTGTGGTATCGATCCCGCTCCGTCACGGCGGCCAGATACGCCCCCAGACCCATGGAGATGGATCCGCTGAACAGCTCGGCCAGTCCGCCGATGATGACGAGCTTGGACGACCCCAGACTGGACAGGCCGGCCGTCAGGGCGAATGGGACCGTCAGGCCGTCGGAAAATCCGATGATGATGTCGCGGACGATGTCCCCGGCGGAGGAGTGCTGCTCACTGGTGCGGTGGGAGTCATCTCGGGGGACGTCGGTTGACAAAGACATTTCGTTCATCTTCCTCAATGGAGAGATAGAAGCGGGGAAGGAAGAAAATGAAGAGTCCGCAAATAGCAAGCAATAGAGACGGGTGTATTGTTGCTGCCTTTGAATTAAGACAAGCAGGTAAGATTTCAGCGACTATTCACTATTCTCACTCTCCCAGAAAGCGGTGCAAAAAAAGGAAAAGTCACGGCCACCATTCTCTCGCCAGATTATTATAAACAGTACAATTCACGCATTCCAGCTCAAGGCATACGCGATCTACGAACTCTACCAGCTGGCATCATTTGCTCTACCTATCATACAATCACGGGGCCAACACATCCTATCGGGACACGAGGAGAACAAGCCAACCCACCAATCAACAATTTTCGATTTCCAATCCTTTGTTCTAGCAACATTCACCATGCACAATCAAACAAAGACCCTGCATTCCAGCTGTCCCAGGGTCCATATCGGGGAGCTTGCACAGGGCCCTAAGCGCGGGTTCTGGCCAATCAGCGGTGACTGATTTCTAATCTGGTGACTGGGCTCTTTCCCAAGAGGGAAGGAAGTACGTACGTTCGTCCGCCTTCGTAGTAGATTATTACCATGTAGGAAGGTACCTACGGGTCAGTCAGGCGAAAATCGATGCATCAGCCTTGGCTTGAACCTAACGTGAGCAGTATCCACATAGAACCAATTTAGTATTGTGTCACTGCATATAGGTGACCAAAGCTTCTCAACCTGTCCTTCTCTGATATTAATTCCCATCTGGAGTGGTCGAATTATTAGTCCATTGTCGGGAATTCAACTACCTAGGTGCTTTCTGTCAGCATGTTAAGGACTAATGTCCCTATACTCCGTATAGGTATTATCGCAATAGCATTAAGCTTTTCTCTTTGGAAGACTATTAAGACTACTACTCATGTAAACATCATAGTTCCCTAATACTGACAGATATCTCATCTGAGCAGCATGAACAGTGCAGGTAATGGCACATTGACATGATGATCCTCTTAGAGGTAGATAGATAGATATTAAAGATGTGCTGGGGAACCAGCAGCAACAGCAACAGACCAAGATAAGGCCAAGCAATACTGAACGCTGAATGCAGACATATAAAGTCCACCGCCATCGAGAATCATCAGTCAATGGAAAGAAAGGAGTTCGTTCAGGGATTAGATTGCGTATCATCTCTGCTGACTCGACTAAGAGAAGACAATACCAGTGATGAAACCGGACACATATCATGGTAAAAAAGTAAGAATATTCATTTTTAACTCTGATGCAGTGTTACAGTATGGGAAGTATTATTTCTTTGTCTAGGTAGTCTTCTAGCAGAGAGCTGTATTATATTTGAGTCGCTTCTCGAGGGTGAGCAGGTTCAGTTCGTCGAAGCAAGAATCAGATAGCCAAGCTCTTTATGCTGCAGTCCCGGCAAAAAATTCTGCTGTCTTCCATTGTCTTATCGACGTTTACTTTCTTTTTTTTTTCTCTTCTCTAACTAATGCATCCTATCCAGGTAGTATTCTGCATAAGCACATGTTCTAGGAAAGGAAAAAAAAATACCAGAAACGTGATCACATATACCTGTTGAGGTGAACTTGTATTTGCTATTTATTTATTTATGTTTACATAGTGCTGGCTATTGAGAAGACGAGAAGAGCTCTTGTTAATACTACTTGGCCTCTTGATTGTGAATGTCATTCCGTGTGTGTGCTCTATCGAGTCTGGTCCTCTCAATGCTTAATGCTTAATGGCATTGCTACCTATGAAGGATGAATGATGAAGATGATGGAGGAAGGACCCTCCAACTACTAGGTATGTACTGTATGTACATACACGGGATGGATTCTCCATAGGTACTCACCATTATCAAATGGTGCTTCTGTCAAGGTACCTACGATGTTGTATGTACATACTGTGAGAGGTACATTACGCTGGAACTGTCCATGCTTTTTTTTCTTAATGGTGAATTAGACTATGGTTATTGTGATTTGATGAAAGCTGGTCGTTGGTTAGGTAAGAAAACTACCTGTGGAAGGGAGATCGATTAAATACCTGCTGGCTACAACCTTATTCTTATTAGGGTTGCTTACAGGATTGCGCTTTGTTGGGCTTATGTTGAGAGCTCCCTAGAGCTTCCTTCTGCGACTGAAAAGATACACTAAGTATTCTATGAATAGAGGTTAGTAGGGTGGGGGATGCTGTGCTGTTTAACAGTTGATTCAGTCGAATAATATGGAATTATTACAGTTCCTGCAGTGACTTTATTACCTATTTTGAATTCTATAAGATTTGCACCGATCTTGTCGACAATCCTGCTGGTCTCGTGTCCTGTTACTACAGGCATCCTAGCATCATAATCACCATTGTATATGTGCAAGTCAGTCCAACATACTCTATATGATTTGACTGCCATGCAGTTATCAGGCAACAGACATTTCTGCATTATTGAGTTACCTTTCTCAAGGATCTCATGTGCTTTTGCTCTGGCATTGGTATCATCACCAGCAAAAAGTCTTTAATATAGATGACTGGTTTCGCAAGGAGATCAGGCATGAGGGTCAAAGAAGAGGAAATATATTTCTAGGAGCCATGTTGGGTCCAGATGTCATTATTGCAACCGATACTGGAAGAGGCTTGGTCAACAAGACATGGGCTCAATTCTGGTGCTCTGATGCTGATCTATCGGATAAGCTACGAGTGAAGTGTTAGAAAAGAGAGATGACGGGCAGGATGGACTTGCTTCACGCAATAGAGACTGGAATAGGGACTGGAATAGGGTTAGAATAGGGTTAGCATAAGGAGAGAGAACAAGGCCAGCTGAGGACGTTGATTCATGTAGGGAGTAGAATGCTTGCTACGTCTTCGACAGGGTGATGTCAACCATCTTAGCATAACCTGTGGCGCTCCACTATTTTCTTATTGTTTGTGCTGTATGGGAAGCTCTAGGCCATGCCTGCTAGGAATCAGAATAAATAAAAAGCCTCGTAAGCTATATGGTCACGCGGTCGGTCTTCATGGTTGATAGTAGACAAAGATAAATTAAAATATTCCTCCGTCTCGATCTTCAACTGCCTGTCCAGTTTCTGGCTACACTTTTGTTGAGATCCTCCTCTTATGGCCCATGATGGGCTATGTTAATTGACTATTCAGACGGCTGCCATGCTTCCCCCCCTTTTTTAATGGCTCTACTTCCACCGCCAGCTCTTCCTCTACCTCCAGGTCTTCATCCAAAGAGTCCAAAACACTATTCGAAGCGAGGATATGCTCGTCCAAGGAAGATTTATTTGGTGAAGTTTCCCGACTTTCGAGAAACCGTGTGCATAAAATATCGACTGTTTTTGTTCTAAGTACGGAGAGCATAGGGCCTACTAGGAAGATATAAACGACATCAACCACGAACACATCCGGAATGAGAAGGCGATCTACGAGCGGCTAGGAAGCCCTGATGGATCCGGATCGTCCACGGTTTAAAAGCGCTTGATGAGGAAGTTGAGCTCACTTTTGAACTCGCTTTAACTAACCAAGGCGATTTAAAAAGACAACTCCCCTCCGCCTCCAGTGCAAGGCCATATGGATCCGATCACTGGGAGATGCCTTCAGCTCCGTGCGTTCTTGTCGTGTCGTTATCCATGATGGTGCTCTCCGGACTATACTGGTCCACGACAGTCCTCTAAAACACGGTGACTTTAGTAGGTCCTCCTTTCTTCCTTTTGGTTACCGACATGGAACAATTCTTTGTCAATGGTATGTATAACCCCACGAATCGAGTTGCTCTATGTTTGGTGTGTCTTCGACTCCGTCGCTATGTGGCAGGTGTTCAAATATGATTGCGACGACAATGGGCATTTCCCAAGAGCGGGAGGATTGCCTATGACCTAAGGTATTCTGTTTGCAGATAATATTACGAGATGCTGGAATGGAGAGGACACTAGCATGGAGACAATCAAGAGGGATGTGCATACTTCGCTTAGGCTTTGTGGTTTCGATGCTGTCTCATAACAGGCGTGAGTGGCGATCTGTATGTAAATCATAAATCATGCACATCACCATGTGATGATAGAGTAATTTAGCACTAGCACCTAAATAGGGAATACCTGCAACAACCTTGGAAGCCTTCTAGTAATTTAACACATCTACTAGCCTAATAGCAAAATGTTCATAATTCTAAATCGATATCAAGAGGTATTTAAAATAATCTCGAAATTCTTCTAGGGTCCTTATCAGACTTCTCTGTGATATTATGTCCGTCAAATTGAGTATAACAACCATTAGATACTGTACAGCCCAGTCTTACAGTAATTCACAGTAATTCTTCAATAAGTTGAGGCTGCAGGGCCGATGCCTAGGGCACCTGCCAAGATCTTGTTTACGGCCTTGGTGCCTAAGGCCTCTACATCTTGAATGCAGTTGCATTTATTTGTGAAAGTCCTTGGATCTAGGGAAAAGCCCTTAGATCTAGGTAAATCTGATCCTGCTTAACAGTCTTCATATTAATTATACTCGATTCTCCAACGGTGAGGAACAGAAGAATCCAATCTGACAGAAGGGGAATGTCGGAAACTTCATCCAGCCAGTCGTCAGTTGGGGACGCTAATAATCGCGCTACACATAAGTTTCATAGTGCTCGCTTAGAAACAATTGTCATTCTCCGATGCTCCTCCTGGAAGGACTAAGCGACAATAGAAAGAGAACGATCTCTGGCTTTTTTTTTCGAGTCAGGTGATCTGAGATGGCTGGTTGATCGGCTGCATCGGCTGTCTTCCTCTTCCTCTTCTTCCTCCTCTCCTCATCTTCTGTCTCTGCCATATTCAAACAGTGTACGGAGTATGCAGTCCTCACAGAGTAGCAGAGTCTGCTCCGGATGAAGACTCTGCACAAATCCAATGCAACGGCTCGTGTTTCTGTCACTTCTGGAACCTCCCAACGGCACGGAAGCGCCGGTGGCCCACATTGACGGCGGGACGCGCGATCGACGGTGAGAGTCTCGCTTCTTGATCTGACTGGATGCCAGCTGGCCGTTCTGATTTTGGTCTGTCACCAAGTAGTAAGTACACCTGGCTAGCCCGGTCCCCGCCGCGTCAGGCCGTTGCATCCATCTTGTTGAGTGAGTCCCAACTGGCTGTTCACCAGGTCCACCCGTCAACGGCCGATATGCCAGAGCCCTGCTGCTGCTATTAAATTCTCCTCCGTCCTGTCCAGGTTTCTGTATTGTCCTGTCATTGGCAGACAGCACCCAGCGAGGCCAGCGAGGCTGGCTGAACAGTTCTGCATGCTGCAAGCCACAAATCGCATGGCTCCAGCAAAAGACACCCTGCCCGCAAGCTAAAACGGCGTCCAGATCTCCCCCTCGCCTCCCACCCTGGTCAGCGACTTTCTCCGAGATCTGTTATCTCGTCGTCCCTATTCTCGAGGCCCTGTTCGCTGGGCCGCATCCTATGACATGACCCCTGCTGCTGCTACCCTCCTGAGGTCTGGAGTCCCTGCCTGGGCGAGGAGCCTTCTGCAATTGACGGCGGCCTGAGCCCGGCCGCTGCTGCTGGCCGCGGCCACTATGACCGACTCAGCCCGCAGCGAGGCGAAATCCCAAAGGCCGAAGAAGACGGCCAGCCGCCAGTCGCGCTCCTGTCGCGTGTGTCGCGTCCGCAAGGTCAAGGTAGGTGCAGCGCGAGTTGAAGAAATTTAGACGGCCAGATGCTTTTCACATCCATGTGCCCTCCGCTATGATATCATCACCCTTTTGCCGCCCATTATCTACAGCTGAATTTCATATCGCGATCAATCTCCCCTGACAATCTATCTAGTGCGATCGAGTCAAGCCATGCCATGCTTGCTGCGCTCACGGCCACCCCTCCGAATGCGTCTACGACCTAGGGCCGGGCGATGAGGATTTCCAGCCTATCAGCCAGGCCGACGAGATCCGCAATCTGCGCAACGAGATCAAGGAATTGCGCGCGAAGATTAGCCGCCAAAGTACGTCTCCACTGACCAATCCGCCTCACCTAGCTGGGCCTTCTTTTCGGGCTATGTGCGCTTACAGTGACGCACTCAGGAGAACACGCTTCTGGTGCGCGCAGGCTGGCTGAACTGGAGCGGCTCTTCGACGCGATCCGCTCAGCGCCAATCGATGTGGTCGATGACCTGATTGGGCAGATTCGTGCCGGCCGTCGCGGCCTGCCTCGTTCAGGGACTGCCGATGAGGATGACGGTATGTTTCCGGTACTTATCAATCAACTATGACCTACTATGCACTCCTGACAACATTTCACTGAGAGGATTCGATCTAACGGCCGTCATCTAGCATCCGATGGAAGCTCGACCAGCAGCTCGAGCTTGATGACCTCGCGCCGCCTGCTACCCCTGCGGCCCCTGCCATATAGCAGAGTATCACCGTCCGGATCCGCCGAGGCGGAAGAGCAGGACGAGTATGACTTCAACACCGACAGCGGGTCCCGATCTCGATCGTCCAGTGCGGACACCAGCAGTACCAGCGGCAGCAGCAGCAGTAGTGCCAGCACCATCAGTATCGATGACGACTCGTGTGGCCCTCTGTCGCGCTTCGCGTCCGCCAAGCTGGCTTTGGATGTCTTTGTCGAGCGCTTTCTCGATGCCTTCAGTCCCGAAGTCGACAGCAGCTCCGGCCGCGCAGGCGCCTTGCGCGCCGCGGCCAGTATCCGCATGTTTTCGCCCATGATCGCCAATGCCTTTGACGCGGTCTCCATGACATTCTTCGGGCGTAGTGTCAAGGATCCGCGCATCGAATCCGCCGGGCTGCAGCTGTATCCCCGCACGCTGCGTTCGTTGCAGCAGGCCCTTCTGGACCCGGAGCGAAGCCGCGCGGAGGCGACGCTGGTGACGGTGACGCTGCTGCTGGCGTTTGAGAGCATTGAGCGCACCTCGCAGCAGGGCGTCTCAGCGCATGCCATGGGCGCGATGCGCCTGATGCAGCATCGGGGGCCGGAGAACCACATGTACGGCGTCGAGCATCTCCTGTTTACGGAATTGCGGCCTTACTGGGTAGGCATTCATTAGGGTTACAGCGTGAGAATGTGCTGATCATTCGCAGGTCGGGGCTACCATAGTCGACCGCAAACCCACCTTTTTCAACGAACCGGCCTGGAAGACGGTGCCGTGGTCGGCGGGCACGACGGAGAAAGACCTGCTGCATCATCTGCTGGATCTGGCGGTGGAAATCCCCGAGCTGCTGTGGAAACACGACCAGCTGGCGGCAGCACAGCGATCGCAAGTTCTGGGGCGGACGGAGCTCCGCGTCAAGCAGACGCAGTTGTGGAACGGCATCGCTGATCTGACCTACCGGTTTCTGCAGTTTAAGCAGGACTGGATCGACTGCTATCCGGCGGGTGCGCCGCAGGAGACGGTCGAACCGCAGGGCCCGGACGAGTTTCCGGTGTTTCGGTACTACGATCTACGGACGATGAAGGTGGTCCAGCCGCCGACGTTGGTCTACCCGGACCTGCGGCTGCTGCAGACGGTGTGCGTCTACTCGGCGTACCGACTGATCCTGTCGACGATCGACACGCGGCCTGAGGGCGCGGTGACGATGGCGGAGAAGTACCAGCTGGCGTGCGACATCGCGCGGAGTCTGGAATGCTATATCCGGCGCGCGCCGGGCAACATGATCAATCGGCTGGCGCTCCCGGTGCGAGTCGCCTGGGAGGCGTTTCCGCCGGGCGGTGTCGAGCGCGACTTTCTGCGGCAGGTGTTTGCGCTGGTTGAGCAGCGCCATGCGCTACGGTTGTGGGGGAGTTCGATGCCGGAGCTGTCTCCGCGGGCGGGATCTCCTTAGCTGTACGGCATCTGTGGAGGGAGGACTACTCCGTAGTTCTGTGGTGACGATTATGAATGATGACGGACGAGGACGACAGCGACGATCACGATGGAATCGTATAGCAAGTTACCATTACTCGATCTTGCAGGTCCATCACGGGAAAATTCTCGTGAAGTGCACTTCTGGCAGACTATTTCGTTTCTTTCGCTCTACTGTACCATATATTGGAATTCTCCTTTCTCATTCTCCTTAGGCTGGCCAGGCTAGTGAAACAGGCAGGTATTAACTAGAGGTAGGGCGGCTGCAGTGAAGATTTATATACCCCAAGTTGTCTGATGATCATCATGTCACGTGTGGATGTATGTCAGTGTTGATTGATGAATTTAGCTCGTTCGTATGGCCCATAGCTGCTAAGCTTCAGTACGGTGTATATACCTCAGGATATATGACACGGCGTCATTACTCAGTTGAGTACTACTACTCTACTACTTACTACTCTACTACTGCATTGACGACTATTCGTAGTCTTCTACCGCAACTACATACTCCATTGCTTCTATATCAATAATACGAAGAAAAGGAAAGCTAAAAGAAGGAAGAGCATGACTATGATGGCAAAAAAAAAAAGGAAAGAGAGAAGAAACGAGAAACAACTGCATCGCTCAGCTGCACCCATATACCCAAACTAGTCTAGACCTAGCGAATCTGAAAATCTGATAGCTCATCACTCCAACGTCAAAACACGGAGAAATTCCACCGCAAGGGCCTCAACTATTGAAGCTTGTCTTGGGCTGGACTAACGAATCAGGTTTTCCCCCTTGACATTCCAGGGAAAGCAGCGAAACGAGCGGAGCGGGTTCGGCGGAGAAAATACTCCGTACGGAGTAGTACACACAGTACGGAGTAGGGATGGAGTGATTATTCAAGCTATTAATACTCCGCATTACCTATGTATGGAGTATGGTGCTCTCTGTACTCTGTATGTTAGGGACAACAGGCTGTACTGTATATTAGGATTGGCTGATTGGCTTTGAGAGATAGAGATCCTAACTATGTTAAACTATACTATCCTATCCTATATTCTAGGGAGAAGAGAGAAGAGAAAAGATACGAAAGACAGCGCAATTCAATTCCACTACCCCGATTCATTCATCCGTAGGTATTAATTATTGGCTAATTAGTCTATCCGTATTCTCGATTATTCAAAGATCGCCGATGCGGTCATCAAAACGCTGATAATTTTGATAGATCATACCCCCGAATCCACAATGGGCAAAAGCCGCAAAATAAACTCGGCCGGGACGGGACGGTCAAAGTTTGGTATATAGCTACATTAGTAGAACTGTACTCTCTCTATCCCTGATTTGTACGGACTAGCTAACTGCTGCTGGCGTCAGCCTACATGTGGGATTGTGGCTTGATTTAACTAACTTCTGCAGATCTGGAATGCAGACGTCTGGCTGCTTAGATAAATAAATAGATCTGTTTTACTTTACTTTAATTCATCTGTCACTCGCTCTTTTCCTCGTTTTGTATGTATATCTGATACTGACAGCTGCCAATGCCTTGAGTTGAGTCCCTAGGATTGCTCTGTGGTCATTTCTATCTGATTACTCGAATATATACACATACATGCCAAGCATGCCATTCTCCTTCTCCTTCTCATTCTCATTCTTATCCCTGCTTGCTTTCCTCTCCTGCCGTGTCCTCGCCGCCGTCTATCCCGACCCAGCCAACGACTTCTCCTGCCACAGCGCCATCCATCCCAACCCCGTCATCCTCCTGCACGGCCTCGGCGCCACCTACTACGAGGACCTCAACTACCTAGGCGACTGGCTGCGCAGCCAGAACTTCTGCGTTTTCAGCCTCACGTACGGCGCCTACGAGGGCCTCCCACCGCTGGGCGGCCTGCTACCCGTCAACGAGTCCGCGGCCGAAATCGCCTCTTTTGTGCGGGATGTCCATGACAAGACGAATAACGGTACTGGCAAAGTCGACCTCGTTGGACACTCCGAGGGCGCGTTTCAGACGCTCTACGTCCCCAAGTTCGAGGGAGTCGCGCCCCTGATTGACCATGTCGTTGCCATCGCGCCGCCTACGCACGGTACCTCGTTCGCTGGCCTCGTCAACCTGGCGTACGCCCTCGGCGGGAACGCAACGCGGGAGCTGGTCAGTTTCGTCCTGAACACCGTCGGCTGCCACGCATGCGACGACCTGGCAGACGGCGGGTGGGCAATCGCGAAGCTGAACGACGGACAGCCGATCGCGCAGGCAGGCAACAGCGTGACGGTGCTGATGTCGCAGGACGACGAGCTCGTCACGCCGCCGTCGACGTCGGTCGTTGACGAGCCTGGCGTGACAAACCTGTATGTGCAGGACGTGTGTCCGTCTGGTCCCGTGGGGCATATTGGCGAGGCGTACGATCTGAATGTGTGGAATTTGGTCCTTAATGCGTTGGAGGACACGCCTGATCGGACGTTTTCCTGCACGGTGGGGGCGCCGGTGTTTGTATATACAAGGGCTTGACAGCTGTATACTTGCAAGATCATATATACAGCCGGTTGATTATATCCATTGTTAAGTCTAGGTCATCATCTAGTACTAGGCAGTAGCTTGGACGATATCGATACATTTCGCCAGACAAGCGTAAATTGTCCGCTCTAGTTGATCATATCTGGCTGATTGATATCAGTAGGGAATAATTGCTGACGTACGAATACAGATCCAGATAGGTAGATAATAGACAAGAGGTCGTAAGAAAGACGTCCAGTTCAATGAAAGTTGAAGATATACAAGTCCGTCCTGGACGAAATAGCATGTTTTGTCCGTGTGTTTAGCTGCGTTGTGTGAAATAAGGATACTATCGATAGTTCGATCTGATGACGCTGTTCTAGTTAGAGCATGTCTGTCTAGATTTCTTGCGTGTGGACCAGCAATCAGGGAATGCATATATATACTACCTTTCTTCGCATGGGTAGCTCTATCTAGAGAGACGAAATAAAATATCCTTTTTTTTGCTGTGGTTGAAATTGAAATTAATCGGAACCCATTAATTAAATCAATCTGTTTGGAAGTAATAGAATATATTATAACATTATTGGTCATGCTTGTCATCTACTATGTAGATCATAGCTGGATCGGTCGAATCTGTCACTGGTATGATGCGGGTTCTTGAATTAGAATAAGAATAAGATATTTGAGTTGCAATTCATGGTTGCAATTCAGGGAGATTGATGAGTTGAATAAGGAAGATACCTTGTTGCGTTTAAATCAAAATCCCAATATCATTTGTCCGCTGAAACAGCTGCTTGAACTAATTGTAGAAAGTAGTACATACATACATGACATCATCAACTGATATTCATCTAGATAATTAAATAAACTCATACAAAACACGACAGACAAACACATGCAAATAAATCATATCTAAAACCCATCGTTGATCCCCTCCTCGCGCTCCGTCCGTTGTCGGTCTTCATTCGCTGCCCACCACCAGCCATGCGTGATCTCGTCCGATGCTTGGAAGGCCTGCAGGCGCAGGTTGCCATGGGTATTGCCATTGCTCGCGCTGTTGTTGCTGGTGCTGTTGGTGCTGGCTTTCTGCCCTTTCAGGCCCCGCTCATGCCACGGCTTGGTCGCAAAGATGTAGTGCACCACTTTGACCTGGTCGTCGCGCCAGATGGCCGAGTGCACGCCCTCCCACCGCAGCGTCTTGAGCGCGTTGTACACGTACGGCAGCGCCACCCACCGCCCCGCGAACACGTCAGACAGCAGCCCCTGGTCCGGGAAGTCGTACTTGTCCACCAGCGACGGCGTGTTCATCGCCTTCTGGATCTTGCTGAACACGCCTGCTGACGGGTTGATCACCAGCAGCCCGCTGTTCAGCATCGCGACGCCGGCGGACGGCGGCGGGCCCTCCGTCTGCGCTTTGGCGGGGTGTGAATGCTGCGTCGTGAAGGCGCAGTTGGCGGGGATCCTGTTGCAGTCAGCTTCAGTCTCTACACACATATCTCTAGGAGGACGAACCAGTCCTTCGGATAGTGAGGCTTCCGCAGCGGATTGCACGCGCAGGCATGGCTGGCCGCAAACACGCGCTGCCCGGTGCCGTTCAGGGCAGGCGCATCCAGCGGCAGCGTCATCAGCTCATCGAGGTTCTTGCGCACGAGCATGTCGCTGTCGAGCAGGACGACGCGGTCGTACTCGACGAGCGAGAACGCCACCAGCTTGGTCCAGGTGTCGTTGAAGCGCGCGTCGGCCGTGTAGTGCCGCCCGCCCGCCGGCTGCAGGAAGGGCACGCGCCTCCGGGGGATCTTGCGTGCATCCAGGGCTGCCAGGGCGGTTGCGGGCACCGTGTCGGTGTACAGTGCCACGAGGGGATACTGCGAGCCGACGAGGCGTAGCGAGTGGGCCAGGGTCAGCAGCCCAGGCAGATAGTCGAGGTTGGTGATGAGGCTCGCCCAGACTGCAGTCAGTCAGTCAAAATCTTATACGGAGTATAGAGAGATAGATAGCAGAGAAACGATTGATAAGAATCCAGGGATGGTTTTATGTACAGTACGTACCTCGCTTCGCCCTGCTGGCATCAAGCGTCTCACTCTGATACTCCGGAGGCCGCATCTTGTCGCGTGAAGATAGGAATGATACAAATAGCTATCATCAAGGTGATAAATGCTGATCGGAGCAAGCCTTCATTCGGAACGGAGAAGACGGCGAAACAGGAAAAACGTGACGGCGGGAAATGGCGCAATCGAATTAATTCCAACGGGGCTAGCTTGGAAATGATTAAAGTCATTAATTGACTGATCCATGGACGAATTACCTGCGAACGATCGCCATGGTGACGCGTTGGATGGTGAGGCGGTCGTTGGGAGAATGTGAATTTATGAATATGGAGGATTCGGATTATTAAATCGTCGTCTCCGCGGATTAAATTAATTCGCGTCACGGTTCGGAGCCTGTCACCTGCATTATCCTGGCCAACTCTTGCGTCTGCTAAGGAGACGATTGCTGCTAGCTACATAAAGTACTTGATAGGATTTTTTATTTTTATCTTTGCTGCTGAATAATGGAGATGGAATGATTAATAATACAATGTGGCATAACTCGAGTTATACAGATGAGATCGTCATGCCCCAAAGTACATACATACAGACTGTTTCGTCCTGCTGCTGCGGCCTTACGTCGATGGCGTAGGAGACATCCGCAGGTCAATTAGATACTAGCTGTCTATCTCAGCTTATCTAGAAGATAAGGCCTACTGTCCTCTTCTGTTCTCTTTCTGTTCTTTTTCTTTTTCTTTCAGTTCAACCCCGCAGTCACCTGCCTTTTTTCGATTAGTCAGCAAGAATCCGGACTCGGCGATTCAAAACTCCGATTTCCGGATCTTATCGATCGCCTTCGCTATTATCACCATGATTCTTACTATCACCATCACCATCTCGACGACTATCACAATATGCTTTATGCGGCTGTTCTGAAATAGTCAGTTGCTAGGATTATATACTATGCGACTGGCCAAGACAGTTTTTCGCCTTGATCGCTCAGTCTGGGTTTACTCTTGTTTGATGAATTTATCCTTCATGCTGGTCCTGTTCTTCTCACCATCATTTTCTTCTTATCTTTTCGAAAGTCTCTGCCTTTTACTTGACCAATTGATATGAATATAGACACAATTCGTTCCTGACACTGCAAAGTATCATTTCTACAGACAAATGAATCCAATCCAATCAATCCATCACCCATCACGCCAATACGCCTCTATCAAGTACAGACCATCAAATTTCATCCAAATCATATTTCGCCCGCAGATATTATTCCCTCGTACAATTAACCAGGCAAGGGCGAATTCAGACAAAGGCGAATTTCTGCCATCGGACTGTTACATCACCGCCAATCCTGCCACCACACTGCCCACTAGCAGCACGATATTCCACACCCCTGGCACCGTATAACTCGGGCTCGCCGCCCCCGGCTTCCGCGACCCCTCTGCCACCTTCCCTGGCCGGACGCACGTCAGGGTTCGCGTGTGCACCGGGTCCTGGGCCACGATCTGCAGCCCGCTGGGCCCGCCATACGCAACGAGCAGTACCGGCGTGAAGCTCTCGACGTACATGTCGTACTGGCCGAGGACGGAACCCAGCTGGTCAATCGACGCGTTGAAGCCGCTGACGGTGAACGGCTGGTTGCCTGGGGTGCCGCAGTAGGAGGAGGTGGTGAGCAGGGCTGCTATCGTCAGTATCTAAGCCTTAATTAATGAGTTGGAGGCGTCCTACCCTGCGATGTAGACTTGTTCAGAACGTTCTCGACCGGCCAGCACGAGTGCGGGATCTCGATCGCCTCGCTGAGCCCTGCGCAGATCTGCTCGTCCGTCCCGTTGGTCGCGCTGTTGCTGCCCCGGTCCAGTACGGCATTGCCGATCGCTGCTTTGAGATCGCCGATGCAGGCTGACGGAAAGGCCGTCGCGCAGGTGCCCGTGTCGCCATGCATCTGCGCGATGAGCGAGCTGTTGCCGATGCCACCGAGGAAGGCGAGCGCGCAGAGAGTGTACGGCGCGGTGCAGACCTGGTTTCCTGCAGGACGTTAGCGGTCGTCCTCCCCCCTTTCGATAGATCGATAGATCGATCTCCTGCTCACCCTGACTGTCCGTCAACCAGATCGCCTCGGTGGTGACATAGATATCGCCATTGTCGTACGACGACCCGTTCATCTGGACGCCTTCTATTACGCCGGCGTTGAGCATGAACGAGACGGGCTGGTACGAGTTGGACGCCGGGTTCCACACCGACAGAGTGGCATTTTCGCTGCCGGTGGCATTGTACGCGTGCGCAGAGCCGACGAGGCCCAGCACGAGCGCCGTGAGGAGGAAATTCCTATCGACTGCGCGCGCCATGGTGATCTCGAAGTCAGAAAGAAAGCCATGTTGGGGAATCGCCCCTTAAAAACTGCTTTTTGTCCGCCAGGCAGGGGGGCCAATCAGCGCAGACTGCCGATCTAACAATAGCAGGCGATAAGCGACCGAATGGGAATCCTGTGATTGCGGAGTTGCAGTTGCAGCGAGACTAGCGAGCTGGCCGATACGATACGGCATGTTTCACTCGTGCATAAGTATGGCAACAAAGAGATTTCAGCCATTCAGATCGTCAACCATGGACCAAACAAAGGTTAATCATCATTAATTATCATTAATTGATGGTTCTTCCAAGCCCCTCCCCTGGATTGCCAAGCCAGGCAAAGTTACGCCGTCAGCCTTGTGGGACAGTCCGGGGCTGGCGGATGCAACCATAGCCGATTACATAAATGGCTGAAGTCACTCGCTTTGGTTAGTTTAATTTCACTCAATCAGGTAGATCGATCAGAGGCCGTAGATAAGCAGTATCACATAACTACTACTCCATTCACCGCAAAAAGCAATAGCGGAGACTGTGCCATTTTTTTTTACTACAAAACCTGCATGCATCTCATTAAATAATCTTCCAGTAAATGCGATATATAGTGTCATTAAAACTAGAATATTTTTCAATTCAGAAAATTGGTTAATTTGTAATCTATTTATGCGTGATATATTTTTTTTACAAAAAAAAAAAAGGGACACAAATATCACAACGACTAATTGTTCCATAATGACTGGTTGACTCGTTTTGGGGGAAAAAATATATTTCTGGAAAAGCTCGAATTCTCATAACAGTGTGTTTTTTTTTCTTCCCCATAAAAGTCATTTGTGGAATCTGTTAAATTTTAATGTGCTCTATAATTGTTATGTACTTTTTTTTTTAGTATATTTTTTTCTGTTTCATTTCTTTTTCTTTTTCCTTGTTTTCTTATTGTTCTGAAAGTTATCAACAGTAATATTTGCATTATTCGAGAATGACATTAGTAGTATATACAAAAAAGAAAGGGATATTAGGACTAATTAATGGCTATCGACCTGAGGAATGATTCTCTAATACTGGGTTAAACATTTATTCTAAGAATAACGTTATCACATAATTCCACTTACGCAGACTACAGAAAAATATAATGTGATGGACAATAAACACATCAAGAAAACGAATTCCTCAAGACAATTGCAGCTACACTCCAGAAGAATGCTAGTGATACACCCCAATCCGTCCAAACCAGCCCTGCATCTTCTCCACCGTCTCCTCCGGATTCTCCTCTGGAAAAAAGTGCGCTGCCCCCTCGCCAATCCCCTCAGCTACCAGCAGCTCCTTGCCAGGCACAACCCAGTCCTGCCAGACGCCTGGCACGTCGAATCGCCGTCCGATCCCCGCAGCCGAATACAGCACCAGCGTTGGCACCGCCAGCTTGCGTCCTGCCTCCTGGTCTTTCGTCTGCTGCTCCACGTCCTCCCTCGCGCCGGCCGCGTAGTCGAGATTGCTGGCCCGGACGACGCTCTCCTGCTTGAACGAGGTCTCGTACACCTCCAGCGCGCCGTCTTTGGCTAGGTTCTCTGCCCCCCGCGCACTCAGCTGCCCCCACCCGCGCTGGAACAGGCGCCTCACGAAGACGTCTCCGCCCATCGCCTGGATCATCTCCGTCGCCAGGTCGACGTTGGCCAGGAACGGCCAGTGGTAGAATCCCACCGCTTCGGCCGGGCGCGTCATGCCCTGCCACTGCACGAGCGTGGGCACAATGTCCATCAGCACGGTGCCCAGAATGGTGAACTGGTTTGCGTACGTGTCTGCATCGACCGCCAGACGGTGGCAGATGCGTGCGCCGCGGTCATGCCCGGCGAGGACGATTTCGTAGGGGCGGGACCGCGCAGATGTCTTCTCGAGCAGGCTCGTCAGCGCGTCGAGGATGGCCGCTCCGATGGTCGCCTTGTCGTGGGACGTCTGGGACGGCGTACTGGCGCCGTAGCCGGGGATGTCAGGGACGAAGAGGGGGATATTCGCTGGGAGCAGTCGGATGACCTGGTTTGTTAGCTGAATGTAGCCAAACAGGTTATAGATGATAAACGTATATACGTACATGGCGCCACCTGAGGCCAGTAGGTCGTCAGCATTCGCAGCAGTCCTGAGGAATTATTATTCAATCATGCAACGACGTACATGAAATTGCTGCAATTGTCAGCAGAACACACCCTCGTCAGGTAGTAAGGTAGTAAGGTACTCACGTCTCTGGATACCCATGAATCAGCACCAAAACCGGCGCATTCTCGCCCAAGCCGCGACTGAATCCAGATACGGTGGAGCCGGACGAGGTAGGGATGGCAAAGGGCTCGAGACGATGGTCCGGGAGGATTGTTGCCAGTGACAGAGATGGAGAAGCCATGTGTGCAGTATCAAGGCAAGAGGGAAGGAAGGAAGATTTGCTATTTGCGAATTAATTAATAAATTACCCCGTACAATGCTGGAAGTCGCAGCGAGGTTGATGGAATGATATTTCGATTTCAATTTATGAATAAGAAATGGATGTGAGATTGCAGCTGGCATGATTGCTGACCGGATAGACGGTTGTTATGGTTGGTTGGAGCGCCTGGGGTCACGTCGAGCGGGGTTACTGACTCCAGCCTAGGCAAGCAGGGAATTTAGTTATTAGCGATTATTATTACTCCCAATTGGAGATGAAAAGACGACCAAATACTTATTGCCTCGGATCACAGACGGAACAGATTGAAACAGCGATGAGGATAGTTGATATTGTTGTTGCTTGTTTTCTTTTCTAGTCAGTATTTCACTTGTATTTTAATTCTTCTGATTGCTTTACAGGGTAAATCCATGCATTACATGGAGCAATATCTATGTTGAGCTGAACCCAAGTTGAGAACACTGTTAAATAGCCCAAACTTAATATCAAAAGCTTGACAAACTCAATTGCACGACTGTTAGTTGATCATCATCCCGACGGGATCCGCTGCCATGTCTGAATTTAATTGCCTAGTTGAGGAGCAGACTTATATTGGTGTTCTCCAATTGAAAAGAATCACACAACACAATTCTAGAATCCATTGGATGCTATATAAGGATAGGTCAGATTACTATGTCCTAGTCATATACTGGTGCTTGTCTCCATTGCAAGATTTAATATCCCATCGATCTGGCTGGCGATGCGCCAGTTCCAAAGGGAGTAAAATATCCCTGTAGTATTTTTCTCTCTGTTCGAAATTATTTTGATCACACACTTTTTGTTTTCCATTTTCACTCTTGTTTTTCTTTTAATTTATTTTTATTTATTCAGGCTTATAGCTACTGATAGACCCTCCTCTGCTACTGCACCAACTACACAGGCTCTGCTTTCTTGTCCGATATCAATGTGCCCCAGTCTGCCCTGACCCTTACGACCGGCGAGCCAAAGCTCTTCATCAACAACTCCGACTCTGGATGCCCTATCTATTGCCAGCTCTGTGCTGACTGCAGCACACCCATGATGTCTAAGGCCAGTGTTGGGCCTGGATATGATCAACATCAAATAGGAGACGCTGGACGACTCGGACCGGGCGAAGCTGCAGGATCTGCAATGCAGATGGAGACTTACTATAGTAGCAGGGAGACCCGACCAAATGCAATGCAATTGATTAGGGATACCCCTTCCTAGAGATTATGGATTATAGTTTCACAAAAAAAGATGCTTCATTAACAGATGACAGGCTTTTAGCGAAAAAAGTACGATCTAGTAGCTTTCTGAGCATGATGTTGTTTGATATTGTTTGTGACTTGCACCTGGTTGATTATCCTTGGCTATTTGCTCTTTGCTTCAGGAGATTACTGTCGGGGAATTTCGTGTTTAGCTTTTTATTATCAATTCAGTTAGGCAATGAATATCTAGTAGTTACCAGTAGGTATGTACAAAATGATGTCAGCACTAGTTGTCAAGGACAGGGTTTCCAATAAAGCAGACTAGGGCTGGGTGAATTGGAACAGTGCGGAAAGCCCTTCTAATACTGTATGCATATGCCGAGTATTGGACAAGATGGGCCTGTCATTGCACTGGGATCTTTTTGAGTTTCTTTGTTTCTTTCATGAGAAGATGTCATATCGCATCTGATTGGTTTGGGTGTCATCATGCGGCTGAGAATTAACCAGTTAATGGTATCATACCTAGGTAGTAATTAACTGCATCGAGTCTTGTTTGACTCCTACCTCCATGCCAGTCTCATGACTTCCAGCACCCCTTCACATAGACTGACTGGCAAATCGCTTAATATGGATCAATGGGACGTTGAACGATGCCAGCGCCTTGACAACCCCCAAGTTGTATATGTGTGTGCATACGTAGGCAGATTTACATGACAGATTTGACAATTGTTATGCGTTTTTGTTTTTTTACCAG